TATCCCCCTTCCTATATTTTTAAAACATTGAGTGTTTTTTATAATACTTACAAAGGAAAAACAAAGTGGCTCATAATCCTACTCTCTAGATTACTTCTGTTGATACACACACGCACAAACACTAAAAGTGATACTTTACTTGAGAGAGAATCCAACAGTATAGGAAAGAATAAAATGAAAAGTAAAATCCTCCTCTTCCCAGTCTACTACTTTATTTCCTCTTCATAATGGTAATAACTGTTATAGATTTCTTATATGTACTTCCAGAAAAATGTTCTATTTATTTACCAATACAGTTCTATTTATTTACCAATGTTCTTTTAAGACAATTTACACAGAAGACACACTATCCTGCCCTTTGTTTTCTTTTTCCTTAAAAATATAGTTTATCTATAAGTGAAAAAAGTATATATATATATATATTTAATATAAAAGTGAAAAAAGCAAGGGGCATGACCTTGAGATATATATATGAAGTCCTTCTATCTCAACCCTTACAGATATAAAAGTATCTGAATCAATCTGCTTTATTCTTTTTAAAGGATGCACAGCTTTCACTTAATGGATATTTCTTAATTTATTTACTCAGACTCATATTAATTAATATTTAAGTATTTTCCAGATTTTTGCCACTAAAAACACTGTTACAACTTATTACCCTTGTGCATGTAATTGGGGTTCATTTTCAGTATATCTGAAGGGGTTTTTTGATAGGTTTTGCTAAACTGTAAGCTTCCAATCTAAAAGTTTTGGTACAACTGACTCTGGACATTAGCAATTGAATTTGGTCAGTTTGTTATTTAGTTCTGAATCTCACGGTCCCTCTTAGACAGGATGAGCAAAATGTTAAGTGTTTCCTGATCTTGCAAAGTTTCTTTCTTAAGGCCGTGGGCCCTCTCCAACCAATCAGAATCCCTGCTCAGGGTTAAACTTTGTGAACTCACGATTGAATTTTCCTCAGTCAGGTTTTGATTTTGGATTTGTGTTTCTTTGATTGATTTTCCCCACTCTTCTCTTCCTTTGCTACTTGGATTTTGTGTTTAATGGTTGGGAAGTTATTGCATTCAGTCTTATTGCATTGTGAGGTGGTAGAAAGGAAATGAAGGGCTGGTGGCCACTCATATGAGAAAATTGAACTGTGGCAAAGTTAAGATTTGCCATGGTTCATATAGCCCAGACTATCTTCCTATATATCGATGTATCATCTATCTATGTATCATCTACCTATCTATCTATCTATCTATCAATCTATCTATCTATCTATCTATATCTTCTGATTGTCTGGGGTGGGGGGAATTGTACATTCTTATTTTAAGACATCCAAACAATTCAAAATATTCAACGAATATAACAAAAACCAACATCCATAAATCACTCAAATTTTTGTGAACATTCTTCCTGATAATTCTCTATACATCCATACATATTTATATATACTAGTAATATTCTGCATTAAGGATAATTCTATCCTTTTGGCTCAAGTAGAGAAATAACATGTTCATCAATAGACAGAATATAAAGTTCAGAGTAAAAGGTTTCAAAGGAAGCAAATAAGAATGTTGTGAAAGATGACAGGAGTATCCAGTCTTCTAGAGCATAATGCTGTTATTCAGAGAAACAGGGAGCCTGGAAAGGAAAGGTAAAACTTCAAACTGGTCCATTGTGAAGTCTGATTAGCCAGTGGGACACTTAAGTGCCTCTATGACCATGGTAATGGAAGTAGACATGCAGACTGGCGAGAATCATTTGTATACATATATCCTAGTGGAAATCTTGAATTCACCCAGGGAAGGAAAGACTTGGCAGACAGGGCTGGCTTACAGAGAGTATTTGAGCCACTCAGGGGTATAAATGGGAAGGAAATTATTTTGTTAGCAAATCAGAGCATTGGGACTTCCCTGGCAGTCCAGTGGTTAAGGCTCTGTGTTCACAATGCAGGGGACAGAGGTTCAATCCCTGGTAGGGGAATTGAGATCCCACATGCCCCGCAGCATGGCCAAATAAAATAAAATTAAAAAACAGACAAGCAAAACAAAAAGGCAAATCAGAGCATTAATTCCTCACTATTACAGATAGTTAAGAACAACAACAAAAAAGCCATTTATTAACACAAAAATATGTATAATGCATATACTGTAATTCGGCAATATTCACAGGCTGGATACGGCTAACAGAGGATTCGGTCATGTCCTATTATAATAGTATTTAGTGGAGTAGACGAGGTGGGAACAGGGATCACTATTAAAATCACTGTAAAGAAGATGTATAATTCATGGTTAAAGGACAAGATCTTGGAGAAATTTAGGAATAAATTAAAGAAACATATCCACTGATTACAAAATTCAGTACTGTCAAAAACACAAACCAGTAGAGAGCAAACATATGGACAGCAAGGGGGGAAAGCGGTGGGGGTGGGGTGGTGGTGTGATGAACTGGGAGATTGGGATTGACATGTATACACTAATATGTATAAAATGGATAACTAATAAGAACCTGCTGTATAAAAGAATAAATAAAATAATATTTAAAAAAAACCCCACAAACCAATAATATTTAGTAAAACAAGCTAACTACATTTTTTATTCATACTTCTTTTTTGCCCCAAATGCTTTTAGGAAATAAGCTATTTTAACTTTTTCCTCCTGTAATATTTTGTCCTACAAAATTTTATTAGGATCACTCACCTAATGTTTTTCTTTTCCATCAAAGAAAGCAAAATTTAACATTATGGTAAAAAATTAGGGTAATATATACTCAGATTCTAAATATTTTTGTTTGATTTAAAGAAAAACTGTTACCTAGATCAGTCATTCTCAAAGTTTAATGTGTTTCAGAATCAACTGAAAGGTTTCTTAAAATACAAATTGCTAGGTCTCACCTCCCAGAGTTTCTCATGCAATAGGTCTGTAGTGAGTCCAAGATTTTGCATTTCTCACAAGTCCCAGGTGATCTGATGTTCCTAGACTAGAGACCACACTTTGAGAACCACTAGTTTAGATAATGGACATGTTCCCCCACCCCCTTCCTTTATTCTTTGGTTTCTTTTCAAACTTTTGATATCTCCTTCTCCAGAGTATCTCAGTGAGGATCAGATATATTCAATCTGCATTGCCTTTAAAGTTAAAAAAAAAAAAAATCACAGTGATATTTGAAATACAAATGCCATCAGTTGCAGTTGAGATTTTAATTTAAAGGGAAGATGAAACATCTTGACCATTGAATCCTCTTATTTATTTCTCACTTGGACATCTTCACAAATGTTATTCTTGCCTCTCACCCCCTGATCCTCCCCCTCCCCTTTACTGTATCTCTTAATAGGATACCAGGCATTTAGTTCCTTCTTTAAAAAAAAAAAATTTATTTATTTATTTATTTGGCTGTGCCGGGTCTTAGTTGCAGCATGTGGGATCTAGTTCCCTGACCAGGGATCAAATCCAGACCCCCTGCATTGGAGCGCCGAGTCTTAACCATTGGACCACCAGGGAAATCCGTCGGTTCTTTCTTAACAGTCTGACACAAGTCCCACCTCCACAGCCAAGCTTGCTCATTTCCCATCAGCCAGTGACTTCTGTAGTGTTAAGACTCCTATAGTAATCATCGGCTACATTTCTCATCATACCGAATATGTGCCACCATGTACTTTTGGGCTGTGTATGTGAGTATGTATGTATGTATATGTATGTATTTATGTATTATTTTTATCCCCTATTCTGATAATAAGCTATTACAGGCAAGTCTCACATGCTTTGACTTTCTGGCATCTCCATTGCTAAGCATCATGTTTTAAACCTAGCTCACCTAGCGTTTGATGCTAATGAGAGCTGCCAAGTGTGGAGACCAATAATGCAATAGCTGGCTTATCTTTTGGGAGCTGACAGAATTTCTTCTGTAGAATTTTTTCTTGGCTACATACAAGCCAAATTTAGCTGTAAAATCATAAGCCTAGATAGAACACTAAAAAAATTTTTTACTTGCAAATGTAATAGCTGCAAAACTATAATTAGGTTTAAGGACCAGAGGCGTGGACCTACATTTCAATTCAAATCAAGGCGATTTAGAAGTGATAGTATAGAGAATGGCTTCACATATATATATATATATAAAGGAGAATTTACTTTTGCCTTGTCAAAAATTAAATTGTGCTTTCTGTATTGATGGTGGGTATGTTTCTGCCGGTCTCTTACTCTAGGCTACAACAGGCTACTCTAGGCTTACTCTAGGCTACAATGGAAAAGTCACATACCCGAACTGTTTCTTGAAGACTTGCTTTCACATTAAGGTTATATAGTTTGCTCAGATTTTATATATAAGATTCATATTTAGTTGCTTCTGCATTTGTCTCTTTGTAATGTTATCACTGAAAGACAAACCTCAGAAACTAAATTCTCCCTTAAATGTAGCGTACACGTGCACGCACAGGCACTACTCTCAGCAGATAATTGTGAGGGGCCTTTAACACCAAAAACACAGGAAACCAAAAATACTTTTCATACACTAGCCAGATAATTTCCAGATGTACTTAAGTATTGTATTAATGAGCTCATCTCTGGTCTAACAACCTATATTTGTTTCAGTTTTGAATGGTTGGTGACTGGATTTGGTTTTGCTAGTGTTTTTGCACCTTTCCAAGTGAGGAGGCTGTAATGACACAATTACCCAATGTGCACACAGCGTTAAGCCGCCCAGCCCTCTCCCTCACTGTAGACCTTGTAAGTGAAACCCACACACACCACTTTCCACAGTCTGGTCCAACGATTACAAATGATACACGCCCAAAAGCAAGCTGAAAAATGCTTTAAATCTGGAGCACGTATAGCCTTTCAGGCTGGCAAAAATTGACGCAGGCAAGTGAAAGGCAGCTTTTAAGGGTTTTCAGGGCTGTTAGCACTTTTGGGCATCGGTACCTCCTAAACTCCTGATCCCACTACTAACCAACCCCCAAATTCAAAGTTACCTATACCTCAGGCAAGTGCCTAGCTCTTCTGATGACTGGGTGGTTGGCCCTGAAAAGGGCCTTTGAGATTGTCACAGCACAGAAGCTGCAGCTTAGCCTCCGAAGCCATACAGAGTGCGTCCCTGCCGTTTGAGCGCGTACACCACGTCCATGGCAGTGACCGTCTTGCGCTTGGCGTGCTCCGTGTAGGTGACCGCGTCCCGAATGACATTCTCCAGGAACACTTTCAACACACCTCGGGTCTCTTCGTAAATGAGGCCGGAGATGCGCTTGACACCCCCGCGCCGAGCAAGACGCCGAATGGCGGGCTTGGTGATGCCTTGGATGTTATCTCTCAAAACCTTACGGTGGCGCTTAGCGCCACCCTTACCCAAGCCTTTACCGCCCTTCCCTCTTCCAGACATGGCGAATGAGGTCTGAAAACACCTTTGAGACAAGCAAGCTCGCCTTTTCCCCTGATATACAAGAGTAGCGGACCAGATTGAAAACCGAAAGCGCGCGGCCGGGAAGCTGTCTAAATGGGCCCCGCCCGCTCGACATTTCGTCATTTCTTTTCTGCTGTTTCCCTATCCCTCCTTCACCCTCCACAGCTCCCTTCAACGGACTCTCACCGTTTATTTTTATTTATTTATTTAACTTATTTATTTTTGAAGTATAGTTGATTTACAATTTTATATCAGTTTCAAGTGTATCGACAGCGATTCAATATTTTTATAAATTAGACTCCGTTTAGGTATTATAAAATGCCAGTTACATTCTCTGTGCGGTACGATATATTCTTCTAGCTTATTTATTTTATATATAGTAGTTTGTATCTCTTAATCCCCTAACTCTTATATTGCCCCTCCCCTCTCGGACTCCAATCTTTTAAAAGATCTATTTGCCAGAGTCCCCGGGAGAATTCGGATCCCAGCTTCCGGATCCCGTCGCTGTTTTCGCCTCTGTCTCTCTCCCTGTGTGCCCCCAGAAGGCATTAAATTTAGGCTAGGAAGAAAGGAATAGTGGAGATGACCAGAGGAAGAGCAAATGGAATCCAGAAACGGAAAGGAGAACAGAGCACCAGCGCCGTGTACAACACCGACAGAAGGATCCCAGGCTTCGGAACCACGGTTACATAAAACTGCAGCAAAGGCGGTTCCCACAATTAGACTGACAGACCCAGTAGGCGATCTCAAGAGCAGCGGCACCTTGGATGTGCGTGGAGGGGGAAGCAGGGAGAGCGCCGTAATTCCCGAGTCTCGTCTCTGTTTTGTTGATATGAGGCATGGAATTTCACCTCACCTAGGAGAAATCAGATCCTAGGAAAATTGGTCTGTATACTGCAAGACTTTTAACATGGAGGTCAGTGAATCCAACTCACTGTCATCCAAAGCTCTGCTGAAAGAAGCAATATATACAGGAAGAAGACTGAAGGGCCTCTGTACCTCCCTTTCTACAGATCCTCTAAATCCAACCCTTGTTTTCAGCCAGAATTCAGTGCCCAAATTGAGGCCCTACATGGAGCTAGCAAAGTTTGCTGGATTGGGTTTCACAAGAGGACATCTGAGTCCATATTGAGAGTCCATATTGAGAGTCATTACCAGAAACTTCCTTATGAAATCGGGATTCTACTGATAACACGTTCATTACCAGGGCCTTCTGTAGAATACAGGAGGAGATGTGGTTTCTGCGTCAGAAATAATTATGTTTTTTTCTGAGACATTATTATTTTTTTGATATTTAAAAAAAAATAACGACAACAAAAAACAATTTATGTTCCTTCTTTCAGCTCTCCTTTAGCTCAACCTTCTATATGCTGGTGAATCTTAAATCTATATCTTTATCCAAACTTCTAGGCTCCAGACATGTAGATTCTTCTGGTTGTTCTTTAGTCATTTTAAACTCAAAGTCTCCAAAAATCAAAATGTTTAAACTTAAAATCTCCAAGGTATGACTCTCGTGGGGGCTGAGGAAATATATTCTCCTCCCCCCACCCCATAAGAATGGGGTTCTCTCTCCACTCTTTGGATGGTGCCACCATGCATCACATGCCTAAATCAACACCCTGGAATTCACAATAGATGTTGAAGGGTAGTAGCATATGCCACCTCAAAACATGACTGTAGGAATTCAGGACATGCTACCTCAAAATATGCTCCTTTGGTGTATTGATTATTTTGAGCCGTAATACTTTGAAAAACAGCAAATGCAGGGACAGACTTTCTTTGAACTCCCCTTATCTGCCTAAAGACAGATCCTTGGAAAGGAACCCAATTGACAGAAATCCTGTCCCCAGGTGGTTTCATCAACCAGGGAAGATTGACTCTTGTCACAGGAGAGGAGACTAGAAGTCAACACCAAACTCAAACTTTGTCACAGACTATCATACCTCCCATCTATTCTAAGGGTCCATTCATCTTTCCTAAAAGTCATTTACTCTCCCTAAGAGGCCTACCTGACCCCTCTTTCCTGTTAATCTGTCTTTGTTAATTTTCAGACCCAGCCAGGGACCCTAAGGGGGTCAAGGAAAAATTTCCCTCCCCTACACAACCCCTCACTGTACAGTACAGGCAGTAGTGTTAAGGACTGGTAGAAAAGAGGAAGTGTTTATCAATGAGTAGGATGTTGGGGGAATGAGTTTAGCTCAGAATGGGGTAAGAAAAAAAGCTCAAAATCATGGCTTCTCAATTTGGTCTAGGGCTGCAAGCTACTCAGAATGAAAGGGAAGCAGGCACATGGCCTGACTAACCCACAAACCAAAGATTCAGTCTCAAAATGGGATAATTGAAGGCCTGGCGGTGCTTGAAGTCAAAAACTAAACACAAACTGTCTTCCTGAAACATATATTTTAATTTAGTTCATTACTTCTGTATTAAAAAGAAACACATGTGCATACAAAACATTATATGCCTAATAATTCACTTACTAACATATTCTCTTGCCTGTTTATTCCCTATGGTAAAATTTAAGCTTCTCATCCCTGTTTTCTTCCCCTCCTCAGTACTAAATAGTGAAATTTCAGTGCTGTCTCAAAACTGCAGATTCTTATTATTTCTGATGAAAGAAACTTCAGAAATATTAAAGGAGAAAAATATTCCCTCTTCCTCACAGCTGCAGCAAAGCAGAGGTTCTTCTTTATTATAAACTTGCTTCTGATAAAGTGGTGTATTGAGAATGCTCATAGGAGTATCACTCTATTGTCCAATGTGGAGAATAGGTGAAGTTGAACTAATATGAATCAGAATTCTCTTATTAAAGGTGACTTCTAAGGCAACCATATATCAGATTGTTATATTCAGAGAAATGTTACCTATGACCCATAATGATATACTATTCTGATTATCTTATTTGATGTGTTGCCCCGGAGTTAATATTTAAATTGGCATCACTGTTTTTGAGTAGAAATTCTTATTCAATTTCTTTATTAAGCCAGAGGAAGACTCTTGGAATTTTCTTATTCTCTACATTATAAAGGTAATATAAGTCCCATTACTGTTAGATTCTATATAAATAGCTTGAGAATCTTTTTCTTGTTTAAATGAACACATCCATACAGCTTGGCCAAGAGTGCGTACATTAAAAAAAAAAAAAAAAAAAAGAACATTTCAAAGAAATGTGTCATTTGGTTGGGCAGCTTTGGGCTGTCATCGACACCTGCCCTGGGGTAGTTTCCTCTTCTGATGGGTATAGTTCAGTTGAGTAATTTGATCGTATGTTGTGAAGATTCTTCAGTGCTTTAAAATATACCCCAAGCCTGATGAAACTGGAAATCCATTATAATTTCATTCTTTTGCTTTAGAATATTATGCAGACCTTGTTGCTTATCCAGGATGAGAGACTTCAGAGACTTCTCTGAGACTCAGTTTATTTATCTGTAAAATGAGGAAAATAACATCTATTTCACAGAGTTAGGATTAAATGAGATAGTGTATGTAGAGAGTTTTACAATACCGAGTAGTGCTCTGTATATGTAAGACATTATTACAAAACCACCACAGGAGGGGGTAACAGTTGTGCACATCAGCTACACTTCTGCGCTGACAGTTTAGCTCTTCTCCCTAGAGCAGGAGATTGCTGCTGCCTAAGGAGACTTCTAATATGAATCAGAATTCTCTTATTAAAGGGGACTTCTAAGGCAACCATACATCACAGATTGTTATAAAGATAAGTTTCTACCTTGTGTTTAACGTTCAGGAAATCCTTTCAAAATCACTTTTATTTTACTTTGACTTCAGGAAGATGGTCATTCATACTGACACCATATAGGTAAGTTTTGAGCCTCTTGGGGCTGCTTTTGTTCTCAGGCTTGAGTTTTTATAAGATTTGGATGCAATAATTTTTTTAAATCAAATAAGCATACGAGTAAGTTTTTATGTCAGTTATTACAATTTAAAGCATTGGTAACCTTCATAACTGCTTGTTTTTTTTTGTTTTTTTTTTTTTTGCGGTACGCGGGCCTCTCACTGTT